GTACCCGCAAGCCGACTGATCGGCCATGCTGCTTCGGTGTATCAGTTTATCACTTCTGAGAGCACGACTTATTTTATTGAACATGATCCAGCAGAAAGGGCACAAGTGACCGACCATGCACTTGGGGGTGTCTTCTGGCCTGACGCCGTGCCGGAGCAGTCAAGTATGCAGTCGACATGCAATCTGCGTTCGCATTTGGATTCCCACTCAAGTAGGTTGATGCCATCTTGTCAGGTGTGTCCCGGAAGAAGGTGGAAAGCCTTCAGACGCAAAGCCCCAACTCGCAAACTTCGACGGTGCAAGTGGCTGACGCTTGCTGGCTACGTGTCTATCATGGGGTCCTTCTTTTGGGGGTTCGTTAGGCTAGGAGGCCTTGGCGCTGTGTTGAACAGCTTCATGCAAGCTTTGATTGAGCAGCAGCTTACAGTTCATCAGATGGCAAGGGCTGGAGCCGCTATAGTACAGTACCCATGGGTGAGTTGCCTCCGGCAGCACTTCGAACATCCGACATCCAGGTGCAGATATGAAAACCAGAGCCTCCCTGGTCCCAATTCCAGGGGCAGCAGCCGACGTGGAGTGCGCAAGTCATGCATGTTTTTCTGGATTTTCATTTGGCTTTCGCAGCTACATATCGCTCGGGCTGCTGTGGACACGAGGGTTGCCTCTCTTGCACGAGGAGAGGCGGGAGCTGGGCCACAAACTCATGAACAATCGCAGGCAATCCCAGCTAAGCATCGTGCATGGCGAGGAGAACAGACACGTCCTATGGACACGACGGGGACTACCAGAACAATGGCTAGGAAACGTGCTTTGCGTAGAGCACGGAATAGAGCCCTGAATCACCCTTTGCAGGGCACAACATATAAAGGCAGGTGGCACACAGCACGGCAGTTAGGAGCAAGCAAACAGGAGCCTGGCACGACTACTCAGCCTCGATCGGGCGCATCTGTGCAGTCCTCAGCTGGCGGTGGCCAACGTCTGTGGATCTATTCCCACAACGTAGGTGGTTTGTCTGGTGACGCATATGATGAGTGGATGACCTTTGCGCATGAACCGTCAACCATATCAAAGTTTCATGTCATGGTTTTACAGGAAACCGGATGGACCACTCACAACGAGTACAACACCAGGGCCTGGCACGTGGTGCACTCGGGAGCCTCAAACAACAGGTATGCTGGGGTCATGGTCATGCTGAATCGCAGGATGTTCCACGCAGACACTATCCAGTCGAGGGTCCTGGTAGCTGGCCGTCTGCTTCATGTGCGAGCAGGTCTTCGTAACACCGCTGATAAACATGTGGACATATTAGGCATCTATCAGCATGCCTGGAACCACTCTGTCCCCAGTACGGAGATGCTTGCTAGGAGAGAGATTGTGTGGACAGCATTGGCGAAGGCCGTGGCGGGACTACCAGCGAGAAACCAACTGTATGTAGCAGGCGATTTTAATGCCACACTCAGGTCTTCTGGCTCCCTTGTGGGGCCTGGCGTGGTTCAATCCGCTTCACCTGCCGCGGACGCCGAGTCCTTACAGTACATTGTGGAGTCAAACCAGTTGATTGCCCTCAACACGTGGGGACCCAAAGCCAATGCGGCGACGTACACCAATGCCGACATCCGCACTCAAATCGATTTCCTGTTGAGTCGATACCGTGGGACCGATAGAAGGGCACGGGCCTGTCACATTAATCAGGACACGACACTGTTTCGATGGAGGGGGGGGGGTCGTCATTTTCCTCTGGTGTCCAGCCTCCCTGCTGTCAGATTTCTTGCTGGTAGAAGAACACAAAGTCACGGGGGATGTGACCTGGAAGGACTTCGGGACGCCGTGAAGCGCAACACTCCGATCGCACAACAACTCAAGCTGGAGGTCCGCAGTACGCTACAAAACTTACCTACGCCCGATTTGCAACAGTTAAATGATGCGATGGTCCGAATGGTATGCCAACATTTTCCTGCACGACCTGCGTGTCCCCTCCCACGGCCTTGGCAGGAACAACCTCTGCAAGGATCGATCAGGCATATGTGGGAACTGCACAGACAAGCGGTGCGCTGGGCCAGAGCTTCGGATCGCGGTCGTTTTCTTGGACCCACAATCAAGGCATGGAAGTTTTATGCGAAATTTCAGCGTCTGCATGCGGCGGTGAAGAAGCGCGGACGGCAGCGACGCAAAGAGTTGTTCATGGAGCTGGTGGCGGGAATCCAGGAAGCTGCGCGCAAGGGAGATCAACGTGGACTTTATTCAGCAGTCAAGAAAATTGCGCCGAAGACCACCAAAATTCGCATGGGGTTTAGGGACAAAGGGGGAGCAATGATGAACGCAGAGGCCGAGATGAAGATGCTAAAGGACTACTGTGAGTCGGTCTTTGGTGTCGGTGAGTCTGTCCTGGAGGGTGTTGCAGTAGAGGAGCCTGTACATTTGGACGTTTCCTCCTTGGGGGAGGCGCTGCGCAAAATGAAGACAGGAAAGGCCACCCCGCCGGGCATCGCGCCGGTTGCAGTATGGAAGCTTTGTGCTGATGAGCTTCTTCCGATGCTCGCGGACTACATACAGTGTCACTGGGGCCACACATTCTCCATTCCCACCCTTTGGACTGATGCTCATATGGTGTGGTTGGACAAGGGCAAACCCATTACCGGTCCGGCTGACTTGCGCCCCATTGGCTTGCAGGATGTTGGAGGTCGCATTGTGGCGCGCGCGCTTAATCAACTTATTGCGCCCCATGTTCACGCTGCCCTACAAAATCTCCCTCAATTTGCTTATACCACTGGTAGACGAATAGAGTCCCCCTTGGCCAGAGTGGCACAGCACTGTATCATTGTTCAGGACATCTTAGCCAAACAGCGGCTCACTTTACATGACAAACGTCGTGGAGCTGTTCCTCTTGATTGTTGTGGGGGCTTGCTGCTGGCACTAGATTTATCCAAGGCCTTCGACACGGTGTGCAGAGCTCGAATGATGCATTCACTTCGAATGTGCGGGGTGCCCGAAAACCTCGTGACCTTGTTGGTCCAGTGGCACAATCAAGTGGTGTACCGCTTGACCTGGAAAGGCCTCAAGGACGAAGTGAGTTGTCGACGAGGAGTTCGACAAGGCTGCCCGATGTCTCCCACACTTTTTAGTTCGCTAACAGTGTTGATTTTGAATTACATAGGCGATCAGGAACATCTCCAATGGCTTAGGGATTATGTGAGCATGTTCGCGGACGATGTCCTGGGCAGTTGGGTCATCTACTCAGAGAACGACCTGTGCAAAGCGATGTCCCAGGCTGGTAGGTTGCTTGAGGCCTTTGCGCGCTTTGGGTTGCAAGTGAATCCTGGGAAAT